TCGCCCGTAGTGATGATGATGCAGCAGGATTGAGTGCGATGAGCGTTGCTGACACTCCCGTGAGCCTCACCAGTATCAGCCTCCGGCAGTATGGAGGTAGTCTATCCCCTGCCTCACGCCCGCCTGGTGTGTCCCCAAGGCGACTGGGACGGCTGGTCTCAGATGGTGGTACTATTACTAGTGGTCTGTCGGGTATACTACCACCGAGAGGCAGTAGGAGCATTTCGATGCGGTCCAATTCCTTATCGGAGGGAGGCCCAGCTATGGTACCGTACAGTAACGAGATGCCGGCGCCACCGCCTCTCTCATGGGACGGCTCGAGGAGCCCTGGTGGGACTCGTCTCACGAGGCAACGCACTCTGACTAGGATCATGTCGGCTATGACTGTTGATGCCGCAGCGGAGATCCGTCGAGAGGAAGGAGCTGATCTTGGGGGGTTCGTGTTGGAGCCGAGAGAGACGCATCATTATCCTCTTCACACTGCTGAGTCTATTCGGCCGGTTGAGGGAGCTGAAATCAATAGAGAGGATTCGGCAGGAGCAGCAGAGTCCGCGGATGGGGCTGAGTTGGACAGGAGACGTTCGTTCAGACTGCGGTCGATGTCGGTTAGAAGTAGCTCGAGTGACTTGGAACACACTTTCCCAGATCCGCCTTATTTGAGATTGAGTAAGTGGTGGAATCGAAAGAAAATGGAGAGAGCTGAGAAGAGGCGATTGAAGAGGATTCGACAGAGGGAGTTGCGGAATGCTGGTTTCGATAATAAGGCCTCACGATCGACCACGACTCCGCATAGTGCTGCTGACCGTGGGGAAGAATCCACGTCCGTGGTCAGTGAGAGCAACGATTTAGAAATCGGCTTGGGAAGAGCGCGTGAGGAATCACATAGTCGTGGAACAGCGCCCAAGGTGTCGAGGAACTCTAAGGAGAGCTCATCTTCCCGAGTGCCAGCTCTGGCGCCTGATACACCACCAGATTCGTCTCGTTCGTCTGTTGCGGGTGGTGACTATTGAGTTCGGCAAAGTCCCCTCGCTCTAGTATCGCACAGTTGTAATCAGACTATATAATTGAAGTATTATCCGAGAAGTTAATCTCCGTATTGTATGGTGATGATGTCGTTCGTACCGTCAGATTTGGTTCTTACTCTTTTCTTGTTGCCGAGCACTCAGCCGTTGTGCACCATAAAAAGTGGCTTAAGCAAATGTATTTATCTCTTTTTGTAGTCCGTTGGACCACTACCTATCTACTGTATAGTCGACAACCACTGCTACTCAGTGTCGCGATCGGTAACGCTTCTTGACTATGCGCAAAGATGTTGTTGTCGGGACAGTATGCGATCATTGCCGTTCTGTTGTGAATGAGGGTAAGCAACAGCATCAGCATTTCTTGTTACATAACTATTTACCATTTGTTTTACTATTTCAATCCGATGTCGCTCGTGTTGTGTTTGTTGAGTTTGATGAGATCACTGAGTCTTTGGAAAGAGACTGAACGCATGAGCCACACTTG